GCATTTAAGTTTTCAAATTTAAAAATCAACTGCAAGGTTTATTTAACCAAGCATCAGGTAATAATTAAATTTAATAATAATAATAATAATAATAATAATAATAATAATAAAAATATAAAATTAAATTAATTTACCTACCCCACCCCCATCCAACCCACACTCCCAAATCCTAACATCATTTCCCTCTCTTCTCCTCCCTCTCTATCATTTCAATCTCTCTTCTCTCTTTATCGAAGTTCACAATATCACCTCCTCAACAACATAGCCGCCATCTCCACCATCGTTGGTACGGCTCTCCATCCGTTGACGTAACGCCCTTCCTCACCCGCCACTCTCTATCATCTCCCTCGCATGTGAACCACATCGCCACCGTAGACTACCGCATCACAACATTGTGCGGCGCAGAGGTGTGTGAGAAGCTGCATTTGCTGCCTTAGCCCACCACGTTGCTCATATTTTTCCTCGACGGTAATGTTGTGGTCTATACAGTCAGAAGATGTTTCGAAGGAAAGTGGGGAGGCTCCAGCTACATTGGCACATGAGGAGTTGACCAAAATAGTGGAGCGTCGAGTTCGGAGGCGACTTACAATGAATATGTAGAGGTGAGGCGGGTTGTGTGCGGTGGTTGGGTGTCGTGATCTGTGGTGCGTGATCTGTTACGGTGGTGCTGTGGTGGTGGTTTTTGTTGGTTTTTGGAGTGGTTATGGTTTTTAACATTTTGGTGTTGGGGAAGTTTTTATTGATGGTGGTGGTGTCAGTGTTAGTGTTGATGTTGTTGGTCGTGGTGGTGTTGTAGTTGATGTTGGTGGCAGTTGTGGCGGCGGGGTGGGAGAGTATGTAACCAACTATTCAGGTGTTTGTGATCAACTATTTAATTAATTAGTGATCAAATATTGGTGGTGGAATGGAATTGGGGGTAGGAATGGGGTGTTTGGTGTCATAGAGGTGAAGCTAGAAAATGATGTTATGATGGGTTGAAATTGAAAAAATTTCGAATGAACTCACACCACAAGAAATCAAGTTTCAGAGGTTATTCTCGTAACATTCATGATAAAAAAAAATATACGGAACTCAGTGAAATAAAAAAAGTTTAGATATCTCACATT